GTCACGCCACTGTTCGGAACATATTGTAAGATCAATTGTTGATTTCCCAGAGTGGGTTAAGCATGTATATTCCGCAGGAAAGTCAGTTTTAATACGACCATTCAGTATAAAAAGTTTGTTTTCAATTATGAGGTCTAATAATTTTTTCCCAAATTATTAACCTGTTTATCCTTAGATTTCCGACTATTATAAATTAGATGATTAGGTCCCTTATATTTAGAGTCCATTACCTCACCAATTCTGGAATTGAGATTGTCCAATATTATAATGTATGGAGTTATACAAGGTCTGTTCAAAAAGTATCGGACCTTATTTTTTTCCGCGTAAACCAATGATGCGAGAGAGGCATCCTTCGGTGGAGTTGTGGAGGGGACAGTCATGCACAGCCCTGAATTTTTTCCCGCCTGCAGAAAGCGTCAGTCGTTGGCAATCGGCGTATGAGTGAGGTCATGTAGTGCGCTCTCGTCGGATTTCACTAAGCTGGAAAATGACTGAACAACGTGAGCAGCGATATTACATCAAATTTTGCCAAAAACCTTGGCGATACCCGAGTGTAAACCATTCGCAAGATTCAGCAGGCTTTCGGGGACGATCCTCGAGGCCAAAAAAAGCGCGGCAGGTCCGCAGCAATATCAAAGGTCATGTTGACAGTTTTTTCGACTCTCGTGGGGTGGTGTGTCGTGAGTACGCACCACAAGGCCAAACCATCGCAAAGGAGTACTACCAGGAGGTCCTTCGTCGTCTTTCCGATACAGTGCGACGCAAACGACCGGATCTGTGGTCGATCAAAACTTGGCAGCTCCATCGTGATAACGCATCCGCCCATTCTGCGCATCTGATTCGGGCTTTCGTCGCCAAACACAATACTCCTGTGGTTCGTCACGCTCCGTACTCTCTCCACATGGCTCCGTGTGACCTTTGGCTATTTCTCAAGCTGAAAATGCCGCTAAAAGGAACCCAAATTTAGTCGAGAGAAGACATCATGCGAAATGCGACGGACCGGCTGATAACCATTCCAAAAGATGCGTTCCAGCAGTGTTTCCAGCAATGGCAGGAACGCTGGGAGAAGTGTATACATTACCAAGGAGACTACTTTGAAGGGGATTAGGGTTTTGTACCTCAAAGTCAATAAATTTATTTTTGCCGACCAAAGGTCCGATACTTTTTGAACAGACCTTGTATATTGCCATATATCAATAACTCTGAAGATTTCATTAAGATCAAAAAAAATAAAAAAAACATAACACCTTAATTTGCTGAGAAAATTTAGCAAAGGGTGGTTACGCTCGAAATTAAGTGATCTTTGTGTATGCCTTTGATATGTGAAATGATCGGAATTATTATCAAATAATTTTAAATTCTGAATACATGATATCAGTTGACATCAAGTAATCTCACTTGAATAATTTTGTAAAAGTTCGTCCGATGGAGAATTATTTCCAATAAAATTGTATACAAAACTGTCCAAAAAGGATCACCATTTATTATTTTTTGTGTTCCAAGACTAACACATTTTCGGCGACTGACCTTTCTTTTTAGGCTACTTGTAGCCAGAAAAATTACAAAAAGTCCTTTTAAAAACACAAAACACATCCAATTAAAATTTTTTAAAATTTCTGAAAAAAGAACTGGTGACATACAGTTGTCTTGCTTACTTCCATCTATACCTTCTTTTGGGGGTTTCCTCTGCTTTTTATCTACTAAAAATTGGCGCTGGAATATGTAGATTTTTAGAAAATTATTTCTAATAAAATTGTAGACGAAACTGTCCAAAAAGGATTTTGGACAGTTTCGTCTACAATTTTATTAGAAACTAGCAGACCCCGCCACGCCTTGTTGTGGCTCAAAATGTATCTATTATAAATATATAACACTTCCCCCGTGGGGGGAAATTTTTCGAAAAATTTTTTCTTAGTGTACATTCTCTTGACGTACCCTATTAAAACGCAATCAAAAACGCAAAAACCCGCATCTAAAATAGTATAATAGAAGCCAAGTTTTTCACAGTAAGCCTTAATCCTGTCTCTCTCCCCCGCGGGGGGAATATCGAAAAATCCCTTCTTAGTGTACATTCTGTTGACGTACTCTATTAAAACGCAATCAAAAACGCAAAAAACCGCATCTAAAATAGTATAAATAGAAGCAGAGTTCTTTACGGTAAGCCTTCCCCGTAAGGCTTACCGTAAAGAACTGTCCATCTCCCATGTTTAACGGAATAATATACAGCCTATGTCCACCCTGAAGTTCCATTCTAAATATTGGTGAAAGAATTTTTGAAATCGGATGAGTAGTTTCGGAGATTACCTGCTGCATACAAACTAACATACATACAAACATTACCTCTTTATAATATTAGTATAGATAATTCTCCATCGGATGAACTTTTACAGAACTTTCTACACGTATCGTCACCAGGGGGCAGCTTTTCTAAAAATCTACATATTCCAGCGCCAATTTTTAGTAGATATAAAGCAGAGGAAACCCCCAAAAGAAGGTATAGATGGAAGTAAGCAAGACAACTATATGTCACCAATTCCTTTTTCAGAAATTTTTAAAAATTTTAATTGGATGTGTTTTTAAAAGGACTTTTTGTAATTTTTCCGGCGACAAGTAGCCTAAAAAGAAAGGTCAGTCGTCGAAAATGTGTTAGTCTTGGAACACAAAAAATAATAAATGGTGGTCCTTTTTTGGACAGTTTTGTCTACAATTTTATTGAATAATTTTAATAATTCTTACAAATAGTAATTTCATCAACTGATGTTAATTGATAACATATTTCATGTCATTTGGAATTAATGAAAAATTTAAGGTAGCCGACCCGGTGGAGATAGGGGACTTGAAACCAACTCCACGCACCTGTGTAAGGTTGCCGTCTCCTAGGTGGGATCTATTAATCCCGCGTCAGGATGGACCTAAGGGAAGGTTTATGTGGGCCGTGACTGAGGAGGCAAATGATGACAAGTGTTTTACACAAGAAAGCAGTTTATTTGGTAACATTTGTGCTTACATCGACAATCGACAGTCCTTCACTAGGTTCTTCTCGTTGAAGATGCGGAGAGGCGAGAACTTCGGCGTCTGTCTGGCCCCGGGGCGGACGAGATGAGGTCGCTGAGCAAGGCGGACGATCGGAAGGAGGAAGCGGCGGAGTCAAAGTTCTTGGCGACGACACACCACAATATAAGTCACGACCTTTCGTGGAATATGGAGGAGAGCCTCCCTGATTTTGATTTTCGAATTTTTATAGTTTTTTTCTCCCACTATTCGGACTTCTGATTGGCCCCTCGTCTCCTTCCTCGCTTCTCGATTGGTCTCTTTTGTTTTGGGAAAAACCGAGACCGACTCGGGTCACGGGAAAGGTCCGATTCCAGGTGTCTGCTCGACGCCGTTCTGTCGATTGTTCTTGGGGATTGTTGACAAAATTGCAAGACTCGCGCTCATAATTTAGCTCCGTAACTCGCGATTTCTGTCATCTGGGTACTCGATCATATGCAATGATTTACCTCTCTTAAATCTTTCCCTCTTTTCCGAAATTGTTTCCCTAGATTGATTGTTTATGAGCGCTGGGGTCAAAGTTCTACCTGCATATGACCACTTGTCTCTGACTTATAACTTTTCATTCTGACATTGACAGTTCGTTTAACACGTGTTTGAGTCATCCGAGACTAGGGTTGACACCTTTTTAAAATCGCTGACCCGGACTGCAGGTGAGGTTTGTTCGAACAGAAGTTCCTGACGCATGCGTGTATCATTTTGCAATGCGAAGAGTAATTTGCAGTGCATGCTGGTTCTAAATCAGTTACAGTTAGCGACTAGGGAGACTTGGATTGGAGTAACGCAAGTGACCTAGCTCTATTGGATATTGGAGGTGTATATGATTACGAATGAACAGTACAAGCAAAAAAAAAAAAAAAAACGGTCGGCAGATTACGCACGATATCCCAGGACGGCGAGTCGGATGGTAACACTATTCTGTGCTCATTTCAATCGGACTCCCCTGCCGCCTCCCTACGCTACCGTCTTTAAGTCAACGACTAGCACACTAGTAATTCGGTACACGGGGAAAGAAATATACTGTATGCGACGGTTTGCATACAATTTTGTACATATTCATTTCAACTTGCACAACCCGGAAAAATATTAACCCCGGAGCCCGGAGATAACTCACTCAATCCCGGAGTCTCCGGGTCAAACCCGGACAGGTGGCAACCCTATCCGAGACTCGTTGTCTACATTTTGTGCCTCGTTGTTTAAATTATGGGATTTCCCCCCTCTCATATTTAATCTATCGTTATTATTTAAACATAAGAATACCACGATTTACATGATTTCGGACATCGGTTGGGTCCTCACAAAAACCACTTCAGAAACGATACAAAATTAATATCATTGATGGTAATGAAATGATATTAGGATAAAACTAATATAATTTCATTCCTACTAAAACGCTATAAATTTGCTTTGTTTTCCTTTTAAACAAAAATTAAGAAGCATTGAAATGTTCATTTACTTGTAAAATATACAGTATAATCATAGCCTTTAATTAATTTATTATTGCAGGCAAAAGCCACACAACTTGTTATATATTAAAGCACACTATGACCAAAAACCTCCGGTAACATGGCGGGCAAATAGATGCCTCAACATAGAACCATTGCTCTAGTTATATTTCTTCACTCCATGATTAGACCCATTTGTCAATTATCATGCACATGTTTAATGAATAAAGGGAAATTTGTAATTATTTTTATTTTTTAAATAATATTATCAGTTAATTGTTAAAACTTTTAATAATTAAAAATTAGATCTATTTTTTTAAAATAACAACTCGTTGAATGGTACCGTCTTTTTAAATTACAAATTTTTACATTTGAATTAAATATTCATCATCCATTAATAAATTGAATTAAAAGTTTTATTTAAATATTTAAAAAAGCTTTTTTTTAATGATAGAAAAATGATGTTTTGGATTTAATAACGTTGAAAATTTTGCTCTTAGGTGGCGTTGTGCTAGCCGGAATTATATCGTCTGACATCAATGAACAGTTTGGAGGCTATCGATGTACACTAATGTACGGAAATCTAGCGATAAAAATGCAAAGCACGGCAAAGAGGTAATTATTAGTTTATTGAAATTTGTAATAGTTATCTTAGTGAGCTTGTAATTATAAAAATAACAATTTTCGGTAATAGGCTTATCTGCACTGCGACGGGTTTGGTGGATGCGGATTGCGTTGTCATGACAACCATGTCTGCACCCACTCGTTACACGTGATTGTTCAAAAACTAACTTTTCGTGTTTATTATGACGTTAAACTCTCGTTTATTGTGACTTATAGTTAAAGCAAAGTAATAATAGTGCTTAAGATAAATTTTGTAGTAAATTTTGTAGATCGTACGCCATTTAACAATGATTGTTTTTAATTTTTTAAATATGTTCTTTAATATCGATAATTTTTCGTTTTATTATATCAATTTAATTCTAGTTTAATCTTATTTATGTTTTTGTGAAAATTAATATAAAACGATGCCCCTGTAAAGGTTTCATTTCTTTATAATTCTGATGCTTGCAGTGAAGACGAACAAAAGGGACTCGAGTGTAATTTAATGTTTAATACACGAATTAATATATTATACTACTATGTTAAATAATAATTATTACAGTTATAATTATTATATATTAAATTGCATCCTAGAAATAAATCGTGCACTTAATNTCTGTATCAAGTTTATGGTCTTACAAGTAATAAAATTTTTGGTTATTATTCTAAGCAGTATTTTTCAATATTTCATATTTTTTTAATTGTATTGATTCTGGCAACATACATTATATGTTTTGTGCAATTTTTTAGTTTATGAGATAAATTTAATGTATAATGTAATGGTAAAACATAAACAGTGGGTTTTGATATAGTTTACTGAATTTATATCTTTTTTGAAAATAAAATTTGTAATTAATTTCCAATATAATATTTTGTATAAACAATAACTCCACAAACCTGATTTTTGATTAACACCAGACAATCTGCCAAATTATTGACAGATTATCTGGCTTTAACCAAAAATTGTCTGGATATAATAATAATTTTTGTTCGTTTAACACGTGTTTGAGTCATCCGAGACTAGGGTTGACACCTTTTTAAAATCGCTGACCCGGACTGCAGGTGAGGTTTGTTCGAACAGAAGTTCCTGACGCATGCGTGTATCATTTTGCAATGCGAAGAGTAATTTGCAGTGCATGCTGGTTCTAAATCAGTTACAGTTAGCGACTAGGGAGACTTGGATTGGAGTAACGCAAGTGACCTAGCTCTATTGGATATTGGAGGTGTATATGATTACGAATGAACAGTACAAGCAAAAAAAAAAANTTGAAAAGTAATTACTTAAAAAGAATTCATTCTGAAACTACATTTGAAAATAAATGATAAAAATCAATATGTTTTAGTATGAAAAACTAATGAAATTTATTTTTTCTAATTTTCCATTTACTTTAGCTTATTATTATTATTATTTTTTTCTATCATATACTAGTCATTTTAATAATATATAAAAGATATGCAAATGTAATTCATAATTAATAAATTCAAAAATATATTTAAATTTAAATCTGCTTATAGTTTATGTATGTCAAAACTTTATTTCTGGATTAAATATTTTTTTTTGGTTACTATTACTCTGTTCCATCTTTCAATCCAAACATAAGATTAGAAAATATAAAAGTAATAATATTCCAAATAAAATTTTTCTAATTTATTAATTTGATAATCTGTTTAGAAATTTTAGAGATATTGAATTTGTTTATAGCAAAATTTTGAGATTATAAAAAAGAAAACACTCTTTTTTTTTTTTAATAACTTGACTAACCTCAACAAAAGTAATTTTATGATATAATGTCATCAAGTTAAAGTTAATGATATAATTTAAGTAATGAAATAATAAGTTATTAACTAATAACTTATTATTTCATTATTTAAATTATATCATTATAAAAATTATAAAATTTTAAATTTAAATTCCATAAGCAAAATAAAAACTGAACTTTAATTTTCTAGTATTAAGTTTATATATTCAAACATTAAAATAATATTAAATCTAATAACTTTTTCATATCATACTGAACAATAAAACTTACCTAAATTAATGTATTTATTGTTTATTAAGTATCATAAATAGTTTTTTAAATAAAATCATAAAATGTCTTCAAAATGAAATTATAAAATAGTTTTAGATTGTATTAACATGTTATGCTAATTTTAAAAAGTTAAATTGAAACTTATTGATTAAAATGCAAATAAAAATATTATTAATTCTAATACAGTATATCCATGAATAAATTTTAACTGTGGACATTTAGTGATGATAACATTAGTTACATACAGTTTTCTTTTCATTATAATATATAATAATCATGAGTATCATCATCAGTCATTTAATGTTATCAAAATTAGCAAGCAAAAACATAGAAGATAAAAATGCACTTAAAATTTTTCTTAACAATAACCAAATTTTGATTACATTATCACTAACTTTAGGTAAATTAGACAAAAAGTTGTCTTTTTGTACCCATCAACCTCAGCATATGAGTGATAGCATACAATCATTATCATTATTAATCTTGATCTACTGCTTTGAACATTAATGTTTATTATTTTAACCCTTATATATATATTATATCTATTGTTAAAGACAATACTGCAAAATCCAGCATATAAACAGTACTGAATGAATTACTAATAATAATTATAATTAATAAATTGTAAAATAATTATAAAATTGTTAAAAGGATATGTACAGTACATCAGTCAATAAAATCAGAATTTCCACTAATAGTTGTCTTAGCAATGGGCAGGGTGAATAAATATCATTTTGTTATTGTCATTGGATATAGGATAAAGCCAAAATGATTACAATACCAGTTGTCAGATTCTACTGTATAATGATACTGTTGTTAAATATTTAATAGAATTATTTATAACAAAATTGTCACACTTAAGTGATATACAGTATGGTACACAAATTTTTAGATGGTTTGTATATTCTGTTTCTGCAATTAAAAATTTTTATATTTAGCTTGATACTTTTTAGTGTTGGTTTTGTTTGTTTTAAACTTTTTAAATTTACTTTATGCACTTTTAATATATTTATATAAAAATATAAATATCTGTTTTTATGTATTTTTTTTTTATATGGCTTGTATGTTTATATTTTACAAGAGATGGGTTATTTCTTACTGTTTTAATGCATTGCCTTGCAAAAGTATTAAAAAAGTAAATAGGATTTATAAGTAATGATAAAACTAAAATGATTACCATATATTAATTTTTCATTATAAACCATTACACTGAATTTTTTTTATAAATTAACTAATAATTTATAAATTGGTGAAGTAATATAAAAATGAAAAATTTAAGTACCATATAACAAATACATAGTCAATTTTCTACTTTTTTTAATAAAACAATTTCTTTTAACAGACATTGATTAAAGCAATAGCAATGTTTTTCTTTCTGTAATTCTCAATTGTAATGTTTATTAAATAATTTCAAAGTTTCCTTAACTTTAGAATGTATTCTAAAATACATTATAAAAGCCTATAAATTAAATTTAGGTATTCTTGATGTAAAAATGAATTTTAAAGCTCCATATTCTATAAAAAATTGTTGCATAAATTTTTGCTTTTACAGAGAAACTAACTTTACTAAAAGGAATTTTAGAAAATTTTTTCCTCTTGTATTGTTGAAAACAGATGTTTCCTGTTAAAAATTTTTGTTTTGATAGAGTTCAGAATTAAAATATGCATCATAAGTTCTTAATATAAAAAAACAAAATCTTTTAGTTTACGATTGCTTCCAGGCAACAAAACTGAACTTCTGAGAATAATTTTTCTTATCTTCAAACTTTAGTATAAAATTAGAATATTTTAAAATTTATTTTTCATTTCAAAATTCCAGTTTTAAAGAGTGAAGTTTATTCTAACTGACTTAAAAAGTTGCTAGTACAGTTACTAGTGCATGTTTAGTTCTATACAAATATCCCTTGATTAATGTGGCTAATCCCTCAATGCTACCATGTATATCAAAATCACATTAATCAAATACAGAGGTACTTGGTACTTGACTGAACAATCGCCACCCACTAGAACAAATTTTCAGTTAATAACAAATATTTTTTTTTTTGTAAACAAAAATAGCAAATTCACCAACACCTTATTTGCCAAGAAAAACATATCTATGTTAAGTAAAGACAACTGTTAAAGCTGCATTAATTAAAATTTTTGCTGCATATAAAAAGGGATTGCCACAATTAATTTTGTGTATTAATCAAATCTCATGTTAATTGAAAAAACAACAAAATATATTAATTTTATATAGTTTGCATAAGAAACTATATCCATGGCTCCCATTCCTTTCCTTCTTTCTTTATTTGTAATATTCTATTTCATAAAAATTTTACTATTAATTTCTTAGCAAATGGAACTTAACTCTAACAATATATATAATTTTAACTTCATATCTGTTACAACCAATGTAACATTACAAAAAATTATCTGTTTCTTATTACAAGAGCATAAATATAATTTTTATTAGAAAAATATAGACATTAGAAATTAAGTTGCATTAGATTATATTTGAGTGTTCTTCTATTTCCTGTGTATTTATTACATAGTAAGTACAAGGGTTTTGATTTTAGAAGCTTAAAAAATTTGTTTTATAGGTTAAAGTCAGATTAACCTTATTTGTAGATTTTTATTGGCTATTCTAAAGTTATGATGCTTGAAAATAATAAATATCATAATCTAGATTTATAAAGACATCTTGTTGATTTTAATCAGAACATATGGAATATTTCTGAAATTAGTCTTGCATTTGTAATGAAATATAGTGAAATGTTAAAATTCAGAGATGGATTCAGCTGTTGAAAAAGAGATATTAATCCTTTCAATGGTAACTTTGTTGTTTTTTTGGCCTGTATTCTTTCATCCCTGCATTGTTGATATTCTAACATTCATTCAGAATTTGTAATTTTTTAATATTGAAATTATGATTAGTGTATTTTTTGTTTAAAGTGATTCTGTAAATTATATTTAGAATCTTTGTAAAGTATTACTACGTTCTTTTTGAAATATTGGTTTGAACTTAAAACATCTAAAATTGAATTATTGTTGGAGAGTCATTGATAGTGTATTTGGAATGTACAGTACTTAAAATGCTAATTTACATGTAAATTTGAAAATCCAAATAAATTTAAAATTTGGATGGGGTCTGGCTCCAATTAGTCCAGATTTTCAATGCTTCACTGTAGTTGAAATGTAAAAAAAAGCTTATTTGTTGAATATAAAGAAGTTTTTTAAATTAAAAAAAAAGTGAATTGAATAGTTTGAATTTGATTGCTGTTCTGAAAGCAGTCAACTGTACTTTTTCTAAAGTTTGTCTAGTTTTCACTTTTAAATATTTGATTTGAGTGGTTTTTTTTTTTATATATTAACTCAAATTTATTTTAATCTAATTTTTTTTATTATTATTATTCTTTTATTTAATCTTTTTCTTGCTTTATTAAAATGAATTACAGAATTAAACTAATCAAACAAAAAAGCTTAAGAACAATTGGTGAATCAAAAAATTTTTTAAAGATGCGATAGATCATCTTTAAAAAACTTTGCACAACAGATAGACTACTACTAAATAGTGTTTTAAGTTAAATGCATTACAATTTGTGTTTTTTTCNATATATATATATATATATGTAGTTTTTTATAAAATTAAAAAAATGAATTAAGTGATTTCTTTTTTAAAATGCTTTCTAGTTCATTCATATCTGAAAGATTTAGTTTTAGTTAAATTAAAAATGAACACTTTTTAAAAATATTAATGTTAATAGTAAAATAGAAATCAGTGCAGTACCAGATTAATTATCTGGCTCCCAGAAATTTGAAATTACCTGAAAACCCAGCTAGTTTTGAATTTGGTGGTTTATTGTAAGTTGTAGTTCATCATGTAGCTGCTTTGTTTGGCTTCTGTAGCATACACATTGCACAATGCTAATTCCAATATGACTGCTAGCATATGTTGTGTTAAATACAATTTTGTACTTTATTTTCCATTGTTTATTTTATATTTTAAGTATATATTTATCCTGTGTCCAGAAAACCCGAAAAACCCATAAATCTGAACAATTCTTATCCCAAGCTTGCTGGTTATTTGGTCAAGTACTTTATTGGTATTCAAAATTCCAGACAAGAGTGCCACTTATCAGATACATCTTAATTAAGCTAAAACTTTGTATAGGCTGTAAAACTGATTATTCCACAAAATACATGTTGACCAACAAAGGAGAACATACCAAATGAATATTAAGCACAGTATATAGTTAAACAAGGTATTTTATTTTGCAAAATATGTACAGATTATTTTAGATTCCAACTCAAATGGTAAATAATTACAACACTGCGATAACAAATATCAACAGCAGACAATGACATAAATACGCAGTGGTTGCGACATATACTATAAAATGATATTGGAAAACACTATAACTAGTAAAGTAGAGCATCGATTATCTGACCCCCGATTAACCGTCACATCGGTTAACCGACTGTTATAGTCGGCAAATTCAAATGTCTGCTAGTGATGTGGCGCTACAATATTTGGCATGTCTTGGCTACTTTAATAGTATTTTTACGTGTTTTAGCTGGCAACATGGCTTGACCATGAAAGGGAGCCAGTATTTAAACGAGGCTTAATTTTCTAACTTTTAACGATACAATAGCAACTATTATTATTTTTAAAAAATTTTTGTTAGGCTTAACATCGATGAAAATTCAACACAAAGTAGGTTAATAGCAATATATTAATATACTAATTACTATATTAATTACAACATTAATACTAATTTACTATATTAATATACTAATGTGAGATCCGAAAGGCCCTGGGTCTAATTTAATAATTTTTATTAAATATGTTTAAATATCGACACAAAATATTACTTCATTTTTGTGAAAAACTAGTGTTTTAGACGTGGGAAAAAACCAGATAACAGATGCTACTTCCTTTCACAGAGGAGAACATCCTCTGACTTTCCCTTATCTGGTTAAAAATCTCGCTCAGATGGGAAATGGTTACCTCTCATTCATCCCCCTTTCGTCCGTTCTCACGAAAGAGTTACTGGCCGATGATTGGTCGAAATTCAGGAGATATAAGGGAATTTAGTCCGAATTCGGGGAGTTCTTCGACAGATCCGAAGCGTCAAAACTCCACGCAGTTTTCCTCCTGATGACCAACGCCCTTAACGGAGTCCCATAGACTAAGTCCCGAGTCTACACGTAGAAGTGATACTTTTATATTTTGTGCACGTATTGATCTCCCGTACGAAAGTAATATGAACTCTATCTACAAGGTGTCCCTTACCTACAGGGAAGAAGACGACGACAACTAAACAGGTCGTATGTTTTGGAAAGATTTTGTGAGCTCTCTCTCTCGATCGCGCATTAGCATAGAATAAGTCTTAGCCTCTAGCTTGTCGCTTAATTGTTGTTCATCGATTATTTGTATTCGTTTTGTTTTAGAATTATTAAATTTACTTTTGTTAAATATACCTAAATGTCTCTTCAATTGATTCCGAATCAGATCGCAAACGCGTGTTAATCCGCGTATAATAAGATTGATTAACTGGTGTCAAGGAATCCTGACGAGCATCCGAACTTCGCTGTTCGGATCATATAGCGATTATCGCCCTCCTATAAAAAGTTTAGAGAGCCGATCACACGATCGTGCGCCAATAAGTGATATAAGTAATTTACTTATACCCTTGGTAACTCACAATAATTACTATATTAATAGCAATATATTAATATACTAATTACATGAGATATACTAATATACTATACTAATAATGTATTTTTTCACATTTTTTGGTTATCCGTTTTTTCAGTTATCCGACCAACCCCAGTCCCCAATTGAGTCGGATAATCGACGCTCTACTGTACTTACAAACTAACTTAAACTGAGAGAAGATAACAGAGAGAGTGATAAACAGTGAAACCAGATATAGGGAAGAATGAAATACTTGGGATATATGGAACTTTGCACAATTTTGGTGGGAGGCCACATGAAACTCGCTCAGACTGATGACTTGTCATCGTCTTCCTTTGATTATCCTTTATACCTAGTCGATACTCCTTTTATCATAACTACATTAAAATTCAAGTTCCTATCAGACTAGCACTATTCCTCCAGTCTAGCTGCTCTTGACAACACAGAGCACCATCTTCCACATCTGTCCACTCTGAAGTCCAGTCCAAAGAATGTCCCACATCCTCTCACTCATCACTCATCCTCTTTCTCATCTTTATTTTCTGTAGTTTCACGAATCTGTCCTCATCACCCAAGAGAAAGAGTTAGAAAAGAAAGTTCTAGAAGCAAGAAGGAACATTTGTGCTCATTTACATAAAATCTTTGATGTCAACACTGGTAATGGAGATCTACAGTACATAGGAATTACATCAAGATCTTTAGGCAAAAGAGTTAAGGAACACAAGTATAACACCTGCTATGAAATACATCATATTCTTTGTTTCTGACCATATTGGAGAAGGATATGTTGATGTAGGACAAAATAGGAAAACGTTTTAGAGAACATAATGAATGGCTGAAAAATTATGGTTTTCCAAAAGAGCCTTAAACATAATGTAATTAATGCAAACGATGCTACAATTTTGTTAAGTGTGTGGATATGGTTTGCCTCAATAACCTTTAAAAAAGTTTTCACATATTTTGTTCTGTTTTTGTTGATACATTTGATACCAGTTGTAACTTTTACTGTTATGATCTGATCACAGTTTTTAAGATTAAATTATTTTTAGCATTATTTTCTGTCAATGCACCATATTCATGATGATGCAATTTGCAAATTCAAATGTTTCTTTTCAGGATGTCTGTAGATGACCTATTAGAAGAAAATATTAGTGTATTTATTTATTTTTTAATCTTTACTTCAATTAAGCATTTGTCTGTTTGTATTTATTTTGAAGTGTTTGTTGTTGTTATATACTATAAATATTTCAGGTTGATCTGTCAGGATTGAGTTTACTAATATCACAAGCAAAAGTTAATGTAGGGGAAAAACAAAAACAGGTAGGATTATATTTTTTAAATTTTCTCCTAGATACTGTATTATTATTATTTACTTTTTCCAAGTAAATTTGTTATTTTTCACATTAAATTTTATAGCATACATGAAACTAATAAATATTAAATTAAAAATACAGTAAAACTTTGTATCAAAAAGTTATATTTTTTTATATTTGTATATATTTTTGATTTGATGTAATTTATTTTCTCAACTATTGAAAACTGGGTATACATTAATAAACACTGCACATATAACCAGAATCCAGCAAGAAGAAACTGTTTCCATCCATATTTAATGAACATCATCAAGCTAATTGACTTTTGCAGTTCAAATTCAGCTGTTAAAACAAACAGTTCAGACAGAAAAGTTACTAGGAATAGGCAATTGCCATCCACATGTCAAAAGAGGAGTGATGTATAACAGGGATGGCCAACTTTTGTGTACATAAGATCTACTTTTTATCTTAAAAATGTGTTGCGATCAACTCGTTGTCATAGGCATAGTCTAAATCAGAGATGGGCATTCCGCGGCCTGAGTCGCATAAAATCTGTATAAATATATTAATTTCCTAGCTTAAGAAGTATGCAGCAAAAATTCAAACGTTATTTTCTACAACTTATGTGTGTGAATAGTTTTTCCTGCAATGAATTTAGTAAAAATTAAAACGAGAAACTGGCTAACAGACTCGCCTCAAAACTAATTTAAAACTAGCAGTGACTAATATTTAATCAAATATTTTTGATACATAACGTTTTACATCAGTTCTAGACGCTAAATTAAGTATACCCATTCTATTTTATAATTATATATGAATAAATAATTGTGATTTACTGGCATTTCCCCCCTCTTTTATCTTGTATGTGGCCAGCGTTAGTTCAAAAGTTTTGAAATGCGGCCCTTACACAGAAAAAGGTTGCCCATCCCTGGTCTAAGTGGCGAGGGGGGGAGGTGTGAAATACATACTAAGTTTAGATAAAAAAGAAAAGCCACAATTTAATTTAAAACACGAAGAAAAGGTACTTGCATTTTAAACAGAAGAAAAATTAAAACTCAACATTGTCACTTTCGGGGACCACCACTTCACCCTTCTTCTCTCTATCGTGTCCCGACCTACTCTCTCCGTCCCTTCTTTTTTTCGGTTTTACGACCCTTTGTCTACATTTCTTATTCCCCTTTTACAACTGTACGCAAATGGATTGCACATGGACCGACAAAACCGCATCCAAGGGATAACGAGGAGGTCCGATATCACTACAGTTGGGTTTGCGCGTTATGTTCACATGTTGCGTTCGGTTAGAACTTACAAGTGTAACACATTAATTAATTAATTAAGTGAAGACATCATGAGTGATTGACCAAAATTGGTTTTGCAATTGACCAGTCGATCACAATTGACTTGTTGGTCACCCCTGATGTATACTTCTTCCTCCCTATGTGGAAGTCAATCTATGAAATTTAATCTTACAACCCTCTCCCTCTCTCAAGTCACTCCTCTTTTGACATGTGGATGGCAATTGCCTATTCCCAGTAACTTTTCTGTACAAACTATTTGTTTTACATCTGAATTTGAACTGCAAAGGTCAGTTAAACTGATGATGCCCATTAAATACAGATGAAAACATTTGCTTTCGTGTAGTTTCTTCTTGCTGGACATTGATTATATGTGCATAATTATTTATTTTTCCTTTTAATATACTTTCTTCATTTTAAAGAATGTTAATAATCTATTTAAAAATTATTTGAAAAGCAAGATCATTAAAAAACCTGACGGGTTCTACTTTTGTAGGCTATTCTGTATGTGTGTGTTTTTTTTTAAATATTTTACTTTTAAGACTTAAACATAATAAAAAGAAGAGAATAGACTCTTAAAACTTTTCCAAATATCTTATATCTGTTTGAATTCTATTCATTATAAAAATTTACCCTATGGGTTAAACTTTTTATTGACAAAAAAGTTGCACCTGTGAATCATAGGCATGAAATTACAGTAATAATTTTTCTTGTACTTAGGAATACAATTGGTACATCTAAAAGATAAATTGAACTTTCAAGGATTGAATATCCTTGGATGTCTGGAAAAATGCTATAATTATTGTTGTTGAAAATAACAAGTGATGATTCTAATTGGATTAATTTGCAGTTGTGACTTGAGTGACAAAGGTGCATTTATTTTAAGTTTATTTTTTGTATCAGATTGTGGAAGTTTAGATGTAAGTTGGATTTAGATTTGTTTATATTGAGATATTCCGTGAAGTTCACACAAAATGTACATAGACCGACAAAGGAAAGATATATCAATAACTAAGCAACAGTATGGTCGAACAAAGTATTTTATTTCGTGTATATGAACAAGTTTTTTCAGATTCCAACTCTGCAGTAATTTATTACAATACAGCGTTGAACAATATTTTGGGAGACAATGACAAAATACCGTTTGCAACAAATATAGATTGTGACCAAAAACTATGACTAATACTTATGTGCTAACTTACAACTAGGGAAAGAAAGATGATAGAGAATAGAGAATCCAAGAAAATAGAATACAGTAAGGAGTGAAATACCTGGGGTTTTGTTGGATTTCACAATTTTGGGTGGGATACCATGTTGACTTTTTCTGAAAAGTCTATCATCGTTGTCTTCACTAGGTTTCTCATTACACCTAGTTACTACACCCTTTTATTGTAACTATGATAAAAATCCAATTCTCTTCTCAAACTCTCTCAAATTCTCCAGTCTTTGCCATTCATGACCTGGAGCACCACATTTGATGCATTCTTCCCTTATCTCATCAGCTCCGGGCTTTCATTGTTCTCCATGGTTCCAAGAATCGGTTACCCCACCCAAAGGAAAAGAGTTAGAAAGGAAAGTTCTGGAAGGAAGAAGAAACAAAGAACAAAGGAGAGGACTAAAACTATACTTAAATTTTTTGATTCTGATGAAACCGTGTTGTTGATTTTATCTTGCTTCTTTACAGACACACTAAGGTGACATTATTCAACACTTGGCAGATTATTCACCACTTTATTCAGTTGGGACGCTATTTACAAGTCGCATTTCGGGCATTAGCCCCTCTTCAGCCAACTCAAAAGCACATATCACGCGCGTACAGATGTCGTACAGGATGGACAGTTTCATATTCTATATATCAAGTGGACAATAAACAGATTCGAAGATAACTGCTTGACGACAGGGCTGTAATCTATATTTGCATATTACATCAAAATTCATACAATAACTGTTGTCACCTTTTTTATGACTAGTTTCACACAAAGTCATCCCAGCGACACTATTTGGTCTGCTATAGTTTATATACAGACATCAAATTCACACGTTATCAGTTGTAGCTTTTCGTAAAACAAGTTTGTCTTCGCGTGTTGTTTTATGAAAAGCTACAATTGGTAACGTGTGAATTTGATGTCTGTATATAAACTATAGCAGACCAAATAGTGTCGCTGGGATGACTTTGTGTGAAACTAGTCATAAAAAAGGTGACAACAGTTATTGTATGAATTTTGGTGTAATATGCAAATATAGATTACAGCCCTGTCGTCAAGCAGTTATCTTCGAATCTGTTTATTGTCCACTTGATATATAGAATATGAAACTGTCCATCCTGTATGACATCTGTACGCTTGTGATATGTGCTTTTGAGTTGGCTGAAGAGGGGCTAATGCCCGAAATGCGACTTGTAAATAGCGTCCCAACTGAATAAAGTGGTGAATAATCTGCCAAGTGTTGAATAATGTCACCTTAGTGTGTCTGTAAAGAAGCAATATACTTAAATTAATATATACACTAATATGGTGTACAGCCACAATTTTTTATTGTTGAGTATAACAGCTGTGGTGTAGTTTTTATATTAACCAAATAAATATAATTGGTGCTTGTTTCTTAGAATTAGAAAATCTTGATCTATCACTTCAGCCACCATTGATTGCAAGGTCACTTCTCATTAGGTTGTTTCTAACTTTAAGTATTTTGAATCTTTTTTGTGATCTTGCAGTTGGCACACAAACAGAAACATTACACATGTTGTTATATGCATAATACCCTGTTTGGGAACACTGGGAAGATAATAATGATGATAGGAATGACAATGCATTAATCTTCAGTTTTAAATGTTCATTTAACAAACCTTACTCCAAAGCTCATTAAAAATGAAAAACTTTACACCAGTATTGACATTACTAGTTTAATAAAGTTTGGTCCTTGTGAAAAAATCCAAAGACCAAACTCTACCTGAGAGTTTGACCTGAGAAGCCTTGCCAAACCTGAGAAGGGGCAGATCTGACCACTGTAGTAAACCAACAACAATCATTACAAAACAAAATGTTATATTGTTGTTGACTATTATACTGTCTATGATATACTGAAGTATATCTTAGTATAAAGATAATGAATCGCACTGAGGACTTCACAATAAGAAAACACCAATTTGGACCGATGCTATTAATTTAATTAACAATATATTTTACGCGATGACAAATTTGTCTGCCATGAAAGATAGAGAACAAATTTATACAATTGGTTACAGGATGATATATACCAGGGGTGGCCAACAAGTCGATTGCAAAACCAATTTTGGTCGATCGCTCACGATGTCTTCACTTAATGTGTTACACTTGTAAGTTGTAACTGAACGCAACGCGCAAATGCAACTTTAGTGATATCGGACCTCCTCTTTCTCCCTTGGATGCGGTTTTGTCGGTCCATGTGCAATCCATTTGCGTACAGTTGTAAAAGGGGAATAAGAAATGTAGACAAAGGGTCGTAAAACCGAAAAAAAGAAGGGACGGAGAGAGTAGGTCGGAACACGGTAGAGAGAAAAAGGGTAAAGTGGTGGTCCCCGAAAGTGACAATGTTGAGTTTTAATTTTTCTTCTGTTTAAAATGCAAGTACCTTTTCTTCATGTTTTAAATTAAATTGTGGCTTTTCTTTTTTATCTAAACTTAGTATGTATTTCACACCTCTCTCCCCCTCGCCACTTAGACCAGAGATGGGC